TTTGGGTGGGTGGTGTGGTGTTGGGGGGGGGTAATTCCACTCTTTGAGCATGCTGACAGAACGACTGACACTCCCAACAACTCTCTCATTTCCAGTGATTTCGCTACAGTTTACTAGCACATCCTAGTATAGAGAATAACGGTTGATGAGTCACTACATGCTCAATGGAAGGCCAACAACCAATTTACCATCATGACTTAGTCTTTTTCAGAAGTCCTAAAAAAATCACTAATCTCCTAAAATGTGTGCGACAATTGGGTGAATATAAAACAACCAGTGGAATAAAGATTGTCATTTGTCATAGTAGAACGTACTCGTTCATTTTAAGGCATTGACTGCAACCAATCCAATTCTTCATAGAAATATTAAATGAAAGCTTCTAGAAAAACAAAGAAGATTTAAAATGAAGTTTAGAAAGCACAATCTATGGAAGATCAAAACATTTCTATCATGGTGTGTTTTATCCCTCAGTACTAATTATTTAAGGGAAGAACCACCAAACTACATTCTTGTTGTTTTCGGATGAAGGAGTTCCCCAAAGAATCTAAAACTAGAAAAAGTGAATAAAGAAAGAAGCTACAAACCACCAAAAAGAATAGGACAATAGTAAAATAAAATAAGTTACACCTTCACAATGGAGAAGCCGAGATAGAGCACAACTATTCAGCTTCTAGGAGATCAGTAGGATAACTCCATCTCAGAGATCTTATCAAAGGTTTACCCTTTTTTCCCCCTTTCTGAAATTCTTAGCCTACTTTCTCCATAAAAGTATCCTCTAACACAAGCTAATAGGGATAAGTAACCAACAACATATAAGCTGGACATGATTAACACATTGGTAAAAACCATTAACAGAAAAACTAGGCATTCTGACCTAACTCAACCCGAAAAACTAGCTCATGTCCATATAAGCATTCCATACCCCGACCCCACTTCATGCCTAGACCCAACTGGAGCATAGACCTGGAACCCAAAGGTATGGAACTGGCACCGATAACATGTAAAGATATGGAAAAAATGGTGTAACTCAAACTCAAAAGCTAACTCGAGTATTGCACAAGTCCATAAAAGCATACCACTCTAACATGTTTGATAAAATCAAAAGTCTGCTCTTTTTTCCCCTTAGAATAAACAAGAGAAAGAAGTTACTCACCGGCGAGAGAAATTGGTAGTGACACCAACATAGGTCTTAATAGGTGGATTTGTCGAGAGAATAAGGTATACACACCACAAAGACCTCTTTTTCTTAGAATTACTAAATTTCGTTGAATTTGAAGCTGGGCTTGTTAGTAATTCCGGATCATTTCCTGATGATTGCTGTGAATTTGCATCCGACTTTCTTGATTTCTTCGATTTGCTGCAACTTGAGGAAGATGCTACTGGATTTGAAGAAGAGGGAACTTTGAGATTAGTGGGCTTCAACGATTCAAAATTTGAGGGGTTTGGTGGTTTCAGAATATGGGGTTTCGTCGATTTGAAGATTGTTGACAAAGGTCTAACCATGGCGATGATGATCTTGCAGTTTTGTAATCTGAAAAATTGACCGTTAGTTTGGGGGCCGGTTTGGGTTAAACAAATTGGTCGGATTATTAGCGACCGGTTTGGATTTAACAAATGATGGATTTCATTTTTAAATTAAATAAGAGATAAGAGATATAATTATTTAGTTGGTGAGCAAATTTCAGTCTTCTAATTTGTAGTACTAACTTTAAAAAATTGTCCAATATAGTAATATTTGAATTTCATAACAAGTTTAAAAAAATTAATTTTTCATTGGTGTTCGAAACCCGCAAAAGCCCCACTAAATCTGGATCATGGACATTAGGGGCTGGCGCTTCTTCTACCTCTTCTCTTTTTTCCTTCCACGCAGCCCCTTTTCCTTGCCTTGTTCTTCTTCGTTTCCTTTTTCCTCCTCTATTTCTCAATTTATATTTTTAATCAATTTGGAACCCAAATTCTTTAAAACCTTCTTTAATTTCACTATTTAAATTATCAATTTTTTAAAATATTAATTTTGTATTCCAAATAATGCAAAAAAAAGAAAGAATAAAAAAAAATCGCATAATAATTGATACAAAAGAGCGAGATTTCACCATCACCTCACCACTGCTCAACTAAAAGGGATTTCACCTTAAACCAACAACCATCACCTCATCACTGCTCAACAAAAGGGATTTCACCATCATTTTATTCAGAATTCTCCAAAATTAAATCCTTGATAAAAAGTGATACAAGCTCGTAGTAATTGATACAAAAGAGCGAGATTTTCAAAGTTGTAGCTAGATTGTATATGTGTTGTATTTGGATTGTTTATAGGCGCCCATGTCTTTTGAAGTTATAACTAGGTTGTATCTAGGGTATTTTGTGGTTTGTGTTTAAGATCAAGATCTGAATTGTTGGTGTGATATTCTTTGAATGCGCTTGCCCTTGGTTTCACTGTCTACATGAACTAACCACAAATCATCCTTCCTTGAGGCATTACTTTAAATGCGCATGGTCAAAAAATGCATGACAACTCAACAAGGTACCGTGCATACATATTTCAAGTGCAAAAATGCAACCACTTGGTAGATCAAGTTTCATAACAAACTGGAATAACTTATTTAATGGATAACAAAACAGCTACTTCAATAATAATGTTACAGAAAAAATGGAATTTCAACCCTTTGGTAGATATTACAAGAGCTACTGAATTTCACTGTTATGTTCAGCACGGAGAAATGGATCAACGAACAGTTATGCCACCAGTACAAGCGTTTAAAAAGAGTCTCAAAAATCAATTGCTGAGTAAAATCTAACAGCGTCCAATTGAAGCCAACTAAAAAGACGAGTTTTAACATAATCCAAGATTGAATGACTGGATTTCAGACAGGTTACAACCAAAACATATGCTAATAAAAAACAACTCTATATTTTAACACTGTAAAAAATAATCAAACATCGTTGCTATGTCCAGAGAACTAAGCTCTCTAACCTCTTCCCAAAATTTGCACGCACCTAAAAACCAATATCTAGAGTGGGTTAAAAGAGGTAGAAAAGTATCCAACTAGAAAGACAATCTAAAGGTGGCCATCTCCAGATAAGACAAAATGATATTCCTTTTGAACTCACGGGCGAGAAGGATTTGAATCCAGAATCTCCAATTCTTTAAGTTCGGCCTACATTTATCTGAAGCTCTGTCTGATCTTAATCATTCGCTTGAGTGTTGCAAGCCAGAAGTTGCACTCGTCCCAATCACTTGTGGTGAGAAGTACCTGGGGATATATGCAAATATAAGAAGCAAATGGAGATCATATGATATTCTACTACCAATACTAGACTAAAAATCTCGAACTACAGCTGTCCAGATAGCTACCTGTATCTGAAGGGCGGTACTGAAATCACTATTCTCCAAGGACTGACAAAGCTGCACAAGTTTTTCTGCTGCGTTCTTAGATATGTCCCCACTGTTTAGTTTTGCAAAAAGTGCTCCTAACTTCTTTGAATTATCCTCAATTTCCCGCTTCTTAGCTGGATTTGCTCGTGATCCACCCAATGCCTCTGATGTTTCATTGAACAATCTAGTCAAAGTTGCTATCACGGGCTTTTGCTGGGCTGCAACACATCATATGATTCGTTCCATTAAATATTGAGATTTAAAATGCAAGCACAAGATCCTTGTTTTCCCAGTTAAGACTTAAAAGCAGATCTTACGACCATACCATGCCATTAAAAGAAATAGAGAAAAAGGACACATGCTAACATAGACCACAGTAGTTTAGAAGTACAGAATCTAGGAGCAACTAGAAACAGTTCAGGATGGTGCCAAGGTAAAGCCAAAGTTCATCTAATTTTACTCCTTAATTGAGCTTCTATATGAAGAAGGGTTATAATATAGCAGCAAGAGCAGTTTGGCCAGACAGAAACTCCAAGAGTGAAAGAAAATACACTGTCCATTCTTTCTATAACTTTACAGCCATGAAAGTCTGTCAGTGGTGCAAAACGATCTTTTGTTGGTGTCAGTATAGTGCTCCATCTTAAAGATATAAAAAGGATTTCCATACGTTTAAGCCTACGAAGCTGAGAGTGATTTCAATGACTAAATTTTATTGAAATGGTATTGTATAAGGAGTGAACAAATGAGAGTAACCGGTTACTGCAGAAAAGATATAAGCTTCTCCTAAAACGTATAGATTGATACACCAATAAGAACTTACAAGTGCTGTACAGCTAACCCCACGCGTGGGGTCTTGTGTTTACACGGCCTTACTGCTACCTTGTGAAGGTAGAGAGGTGGTTTCGATAGACTCACTACTCAAGTAAAGCATATAAAAACAAGTATGCGAAGCAAATACAGTAGCGAAGAAGTCATGCTGAAAACAATGAAGAAGAGAACAGCAGCAACGCCGACAAAAATATGATAACTGAAGCAAATGAAACATTGAGTGATACTAAGATCAAAAAGAAATACAAGACCACTACTTAAAGATCACATTCACCACCCATAGGTAACAATGTTGGACAATTGCATGGAAAGAAGTAACATATGTCAGTAAGAAGGAATTGTATGGTCGTCCAATCTACAGGAATGTACGAAAATGAATGGAACGGATTTAAAGTGGAAGAGAAGCAAACCAGGAACATTTGAGGTATCCACCGTCTGAACTGTAGGTGGGGGAGCAGCAGGAGCTGCTGGTTGCTGGGCTTGAGATGGCTGCGTAGGGCTTGGAGGCTGCATTGGAGCCATTCCAGGTCTCTGCACTGGATTATTAACTGGCATAAATCCTCTAGGAGCTTGGGAAGGAGCTACAACCTGAGGCATCTTTTGTCCAAGAGCTGGGCCAGCTTGACTAGGGTGAGGGACATACGCAGGAGGCACATTATGACCACCAGCATAACCTGGGTTAGCAGGTCCCTGAAATAAACATGCAACGAAAATCATAGGACTACACATTTATCTTTGCCCAAAACAACCCCCCCCCCCCCAGATTGAAATGAATAATGGAAACTTTAACATACGGGATACAACTGAGCACCCAAGGTGGGCTGCTGATATTGCTCCACATTTCTCAGCGCAGGGGGATTTGATGGGATGAAGGAGGTCTTAGCAGGCTGAGTAGAAACAGGTGGTGGAGCAATGTTACCCTGCAAACATGAGAAATATATATTAGTATGCAAAGATAACTTCACATTTATGTGCTTCAAGAGGGAAGTACTTGTTTCAACTCAGCAGCTAATAATTTGGCAAGAATAATCTTAACATCCAAGAGAAGGAAACCAAAAAATGTATACCTGAGGAACTGGAGGAGTTGGAGTTGGCAGAAACATGTTTGGTTGCTGGATGTTTTGTTGTGGAGCAGGCTGGTATGGGACAGGAGCAGCAAAGCCGCTATTGTATGAAGAACCAAATGGTTGTTGATAATTCTCAGTATAGGGGCTGTTTGAAATGCTAGGCTGTGGCTTGGATGGTTGCTCCTGAGAAGAGAGAAATTAAAGAGGATAAATCATACGAAATTTCTAAAGATAACAGTCCTGTTTAAGCAAGGTAACAGACCATTAAGAGAGGAAGAAGATAATACCGGATAATAATGCTGAGAAGGATCAGCCATTCCATAACCAGATTGATCTGCAACATAGCCGGATCCAGTGTGTAGTTGTGAGTTGTCAAAAGCCATAGATTTCAATGCATCTTTAGCTGCAAAAGACAAAAATGCTAAAAATCGTCAGTTTGCTTTGTTTGAAAGGGATTGCACTATCTGCACTTCGCCAATTCACTTGAAATAAAATACAATGCTGCCACACTTGAAAAACCATCATTGCCTAAATTATGGTTAGACCATAAACCATAAAAAGGAACCCAAAATTCATATAAAAAAGAGTACATGAGGAGGATACCATAGAAGCTACTTTTTTAAATATCAGAAGTAGCCATGTCCCCTTCTGTACAGCATAGTCGTACATATACAACAATATACCCAGTGTAATCCCGCAGGTGGGGTCTGGAGGGTAGAGTGTACGCAGAACTTACCCCTACCTCGCAGGGATAGAGAGGTTGTTTCTAATATAAGGTTAAGGGAGAAACAATCCTGTTAGCCTTTCAAAGCTCAAAAGAAGACACTTATGTTATACTCTAACAAGTCGTCAGAATTTAGAACCTCATAGAATGAGGAAAAGAAAGGGACACAGATTAATATCTTGCAGTCTTTTGGCTGACACAATTTGAAGAGTTTGAATAGGAGAGTGAAATGGTATACACCCAATAAGCCTAGAAGACAAATGGGAATTATCAACACCAAGTGATGAAAAGGTACAGCTTGTTTGGACAACTCTCAAAACCATAGGAATGCTTCTCAAACTACTCATACTGAGAAACCCAATATATTTACATGTCAGTAGTGTAAACGCTAAAAAAGCCAAGTACCGGATGGAGGCAAATGATACTATACTTAATTTACAGTGAAGTGGTTAAAATTTACAGCACATGAATTCCAGTAATGAGCTTCAGTCAGCTGCTTCCTTTCTCAGGTATACATGTGCTATAATTAAAGCATGAAAAGGCAAAATATTTGCAGAAGAGCCAAGACTAAACCAAACCATATGACCATTATCAACATGAAAAAGACAGATACAAGAGTCAGCTGCATAATAGTGCCGTTCTGTAATGGAGAAATATATCAGCGCAACATA